GGAGTAATAACCACGTGTGCTGCCGCTCAGCCCTGCAGCAGCAATGCACTCCAGCTGGCCGTGAAGATACCAACCCTGGGGATACCCACTATATGGCAGAAGTGTCCGGGGCAGGGGCTGTGGTCAATCACTCCTTCCCTTTGGCACAGCAAAATTCCCTCCAAGACAGGAAAACATTCCCTGGGCAGGAACCAGTTTTTGCTGAGAGCCCAGCCCGAGGCGGTGGAATCAGCTCCTGCACAGTCTAAGAACGCACTGTTACCCCTGCCTCGGCTTCAGGAGGGAGGAAGTCCCTTGACAGCATGGTCAAGGCCGGGTGAAACGGAAGCACGAAGCTGGAGGCTGGATGCTGAGGTGGCAGAGCAGACCTGTGTGCTGGACTCCATGGACAGATCACTTCTGGGGCAGGAAAACAATTGCCCAGGAAAGAAACAAAGCCAAAACGGGGCCTCCTCACTCCTTCAGGGACCATGGACAAGATCTAAACTAGGCATGGCAATGGGGAGATGACTGTATGATTGACCAGTAAGCCTGGGCTTCTCAGTTAAGCCTGTCGACTGCTCGCATTCCCCCCTTGCTGCCTCTGCATCAAATCACTTCTGGGGCAGGAAAACAATTGCCCAGGAAAGAAACAAAGCCAAAACGGGGCCTCCTCACTCCTTCAGGGACCATGGACAAGATCTAAACTAGGCATGGCAATGGGGAGATGACTGTATGATTGACCAGTAAGCCTGGGCTTCTCAGTTAAGCCTGTCGACTGCTCGCATTCCCCCCTTGCTGCCTCTGCATCAAATGCTCCTGCACTACTGCCTCTGCTAGAGAGGCAGCAGCACAGAGGGCGAGGGGGGCAGGTGGGAGCAGATACACGTGAGGAGCTGGCTCTGTGGACCCACCTGCCCCCTCCTGCACTGTTGCCTCTATCAAAGGCTGTTCTGTGGCAGCAACCCCTGTCCATGAAGGGTCCAAGCACCCCGTGGACAGAGGCTGCTCCAGCATCCTATGGACAGGGGCTGCTGCCACCCCACACTGTGACAGGGGGCTCTCCAGGAGTCAGGCCAGAGCACGCAGGCTGCCGGCCCCACACCTGGGGACTATCGAATAGTTGTGTAACCACTAAAATTAGACGTAGTTACACAACTATTCAATTACACACTATCTACCATCCCTAATACATACACCCTGTGAGCGCAGGCAGCTGGCAGATCTCAGCGATGCCCATGGGACAGTCATTGAGCCGGAGGGATGAGCACTGAGAGGGAGTCTGTAATCCAGGGATTAGGGCAGCACCCCTCTCACAGCCTCTCCTCGTGGCTAGTTTCCGCGGCTCCTGGCCAAGTCTTTGGGGGTGGTGTTCTAAGGCACCTGTCTTTGCTATAAAAACAAGATTCTCCCTAAGGAAGGTAGCCTAGTATCTTGCCATGTTATTTTTAGTAGCGGGTCTCCAGTGGCCTCTTCCTGGCCAAAGCTCAGAACCAGGACTCGATTATCATCCTTCTTTACCTGCCAGCTGCCTCTGACTGTGGTGTCCATGCTCTCCTTGAAATCTTGGCTTTGCGACTCTGCACACTGGTCCTCCTACCTCTCTACCTGCTCCCTCAGCATCTCTATGGGAAGAGCTTCCTCGTTCCTCCCTCCAGGCTTCAGGGGGCGTTCCACTGGCCTCCGTCCTTCGTTCCATCCTCTTCTCCTAGTTCCCTGCATTTTGTCTTTGGGGAATCTCATTCACAAACCAAAACAGCTGTCTGTGTTGACAGCTCTCAGCTTCCGTCTGGGCCGGTCTCTTTTGCCTTAAACAAACGCCTGTCCATCTCCTTGTGCATGCCCAGCCATCAATCCAATCGCAACTCGGCCAACACACAGCCATTCGTCTGCCCTCTAAGTTCCTGTGGCTGATGCTGCCATCCTCCTTTCACCTTAGCAATGCCTCTAGGGCCTCACTCCCAGGCCCCGTGCAAACGCTGCCACTTTTTCTCGCATAAGAGCCAGTCTTTCTTCGCCTTCTAGTTACAGCTTGTGATGGCGCGTCGGGGTTTCCCCTCTCCTGCACCCCCGTAGTGGCACGAACAGACTCCGCCAGCCAGTAGGATTGAGGGAGTTTATTGCTTCTCCAGGATACAGCACAGCACAGATACAATCTGGTTACAAGAACGGGGGCTAGGAGGCCTCAGGACCCCCCTTGAGATGGGGGGTGTCTGGGCCCTACAAATCCAGCCCCCTCTCTAGCCCCTTCTGCCCTGCTTCCCAGACAGAAACTGACTCTCCTCCAGCCCTGCCCCCTACACAGGGGTTCGTCTCCACCTTCCTCCCTTTGTGTCTCTCCCTGGGAGGCGACCTGTCGGACAGGTTGGGAGACCCTGGCCTAGTGACTCATCCGCTGTCCTGTTGGGCTGTGCTGCAAACAGCCACCAGTGGAGGTCACTCACTGCCCAAGCCCAGCAACCAGCAAGGCACCCCCATAGCACACTGGGTTATAGAGCAGACAGCACGCCCCCACTATGTCACACAGCTTTTGTCCAGCCTCTCATTTCAGTTAGACGACTACAACATCCTCATCTCTGGCCTTGACAAATGCAGGCTTGCCCGACGTATCCATTCACAACACCTCTCACATATTCCCTGAGCCAGGACATTTCCACCCCTCCATTGGTTCCTCAAACACAAACCAATCGTATTAATTCACAGGGGCCTTTCTCCAAACTACCCAGCTCTGCCTAGTCGCTATCAAGACGGTGACTCCTGATTCTGCTCTGCCTGGGACAGCTATTTATTACATTTTAAAAGACGCACTGAAGCGCGATTCTTGTGCTGCTCTTCATGGTTGGAAGGGGTTTCCCGTAAACATCTGCAAACATTCCTCCTTCAAAACTCACCTTTGCAGCGATAAGGCAACAGGTGTGCTGTGTCCCTGTCCTGTCATGAGCAGAACTGACTCGTTCTTTCTTTGAGCTTCTCTCATCTGTTGGTTGCATCCTGCTCTTGTCTCTTGTCAGATTTAGATTGCAGCTTCTGCCAGATGGACCATCTCTTTGTTTGTGGAGGCCCAGAACAATGGGTTTGCGTGAGTGTCCAGGATTCAGGCTACCACGTATAAATAATTATTAAAATAATCTCAGTGATTCATGTTTGCTCAGACAGTCCACTTACTTGGTACAAAGCCTGTGTAGAAAGGCATCAGTCCAGCGCTGGTGTAAATTTTATTATTAGGCCAATATGTCTGTGGTAGTCTCTTACCAAAGTTCCACACTGGGTTTCTTAACATAGACTGAAAGAACAAAGAGGAGCTTTTATTTTCAAGCACAAAGTGTTGCAGCACAAATTTATGCAAGTGTTACCCACACATTTACAACAAACAAAAAACTGAAACTAATGCAAGGTCAGATTGGGAGCTGATGCTGGGACACTAGACACAGCCGGACTGCAGCGAGAGGGACGCCCGGCTCGCCAGGCCACAGCCGGACAGCAGCAGTCAAGTCACAGTTGGATTACAATGACGAGCTGCACCACGCTGTGCCACTGTTTCTCCCAACCAACCCTGCAGGGGCGGAAGCCCCAGCAACACAACAGTCGTCTGCTGAAAAGCATGTCACTGGTTTTCTTTGGGCAGCTTGGAGCGCTCATCCTCCCTGGACAGGCAGTGAGCCCCCTTCTTCCCTTCCCCTCCCTCCCCCAGCCATAGGCAGGGGAAGGGCATCCCCAGCATTTTGTATGGCAGCCAGCATTACTGGGCTTTGAGGTGTAGCTGCAGACATGCTTTTCCCAGGGCTCCCCTCTGCCCAGTGTCTCCAGTTCTGGCTTTTGGAGCAAAGGAAGGGAGAGGGATCGGAGCCGCACGGCCCTTGAATCACCAGGGAGGGGCTAGGAGGAGCAAAGGGAATGTGCGCAGTGCTAGCGTACCCTGCCAGGCAGAGCGAGCGGCGAGCGGGATGCACGCCCGCCTGGCGGAATACGCATCTGCACCTGCAGCTCAAAGAACGACCCCGATTCACTGGTGTTACAGCAGCTCTGATCACATGTTCAAAAACCCGCCGTCTCATTTCCACCCGAGTAACCGACATGCAAAGAAGCACCCGACAGTCACTTTAGGGGGCGGCCAGATTCAGGCACGAGCATTTCCTCAGGGACGGGTTCTGAATCCTAGTCTCATTTATCACCGGCATGTGATGGAGGGCACTGCCAAGGTAACCAACATGCTCCACACACTCGCCAGACTCAGAGGGAGTCAGATGCTCTCACTTGTGGACAGCCCCCTTGGCCCTGGGCTTCTCTGTTGCGCCTCCAGAAGCAGCCCTTCTAGGAGAGCGCTGAAGTGACTGTGAGATTCACAGACTCGAGGGCCTTTGTGGAGCCTGGAAGCTTGTCTGTACAGCCACAGAGCTTGGCCCCCTGAAATATTATCCAGTCACCTTGCGTGTTCAATCCAGAACCACCGTCCCTTTGCTCAGCTGATAAATGAGGAATGGAGCGGCTTTCCAGTCCATTGCTATCAGGTACAGCAAATGACAGATCTTCAGCCAAGCCTTTAGGGGCACGTTCTCTGTTACAGCAAAGACTCCCAGTGAGATCTGGGTGCAGGCCTACATCAGTGTGCCGATGCCCTCATTTACCTGATTTCTGTCAAATTCATTCATGGCATCGTTCACGCCCTGGAGGTAGTTCACACCCATGATCCAGGTGAAGCGCGGTACAAATCCAGTGTAGCCTTTGGGTGAAGACAAGAGAGCACATTTACTGCCCGAGAACACTCCGGTGCCCTCTGCACGGAGCCCTGCGTGAGCAGGCGCAGGTGGGACATTAGCTGTGCTTGCTAAACGGCCTATTGTAGGCAAATTCCCATTTTTTTAAACCAACTGTAGATTACATTTTAAACTCAGATAGTTCCCACCCTATGGCCTTTTGGAAACATGGCTTCTGTCATTCTTGCAGTGAATTGGCAGAGTAGCTGCTTGGGCCAGCCCGGCACTGGGCCTCGTCCTCACCTACCTGAAATGGCTTTCCGTTGGATAAGGTTTGGGGCGTCCAGTTTGGGGAGAATATTGTATCTGCTCACATCCACCGTCTCAGTCATGGCAGGCAAAGGCACCCCCTCTATTCTGACTGGCTAAAACCAAAGCAAAACAAGGGCCCATGAAATCGTCCTGCCCCAGGTCTCTTCTGCTCCCAGCATGGCCAGAGCCAACAGCTCACATTGGCTGCCTCCAGTTTTAAGCCTTTACTGTTGCTTTAACACGTGGACGCTTCTGAGCCCCTCTTGTGGAGTCACTAGCATGGCAGAGCCGCTGGCGAGACAGGGCAGATTTTCAAAAGTTCAGCTGAGAATAATGGATGCGGGTTAAGTGCTGAAATCTGTTGAAAATCTGTCCTGTAATCCAGTGCTTAGAACAAGGGACAAGGTTGCAGGACTCCTGGGGTCTACAACCAACACTGCTACTGGCGTGCATGGGAAAATCGCCTCGGCTCAGCCTTCGCCAGATTGACACAAGGCTGACTGACTGTCCCCTTCAAGGAATCCTTCCCACGCATTGCCAGGAATAGCCTCTCCTGTAGCGGGCTGGTGCCGGGGATTCAAAGGAATACAACGCAGCAAAGTCTCAGCTCGCTCCCTAAAACCAGCAGCAGAGCCGATTAGATACAGACAGGATACGTCGACACAGCAACCTCCCCTCCCTGGAGCAGCGAGTCTCAGAGGCCTGGTCAGTTAACCTGGGCTCTTGCTCCAGGGCTGAAACTAGCCGTGTCCCTGTCCAGGCTGTGAGACCTGGCAAGCGGAGACGGTCTCAGAGCCTGGGCTCAGCCCAAGCCTGAACAGCTGTTTTTAGCCCCCTCACACAAGCCCTGGGCGGCTGGCTGTCAGTTGACTTCTGGCTCCAAGACACACGGCCATGGGGGTGTGGCTGCTAGGCGGACGTACCCGCTGCAAACCGATCTTCCTTGCTAGTCCTGAGCGGAGCTGCCCCGTAATGAATGACTTTGCTCAGGGGACTTGCCCGATTCACTCCTGCAGGGTGAGAGACCAGAGACTTTTTTTTCTCCAAAGAAGGAACAAAAGGCAAAAACCATTTACAGAGAAACAGGAAGTGGTTCAAAAAACCAGAATGCGGGCATGGAAAAGTCTTCTGCATGCCCACCCTGCAGTTCTGTGCCAGGAGTTCGCTTCACGCTCATGCACCTCCAGACTGCTGGTGTCATTCGGAAAATTCCACGGTGGCCAATGGTAACACAGCCTGACTGTTTCCTGAGGGCCATGTGCACAGCCAGAGAGTGCCAGCGTAATACTGACACATCCCCCGCACCGCCCCGGGCCCAAGTAACTGCACTGGGGAGGCCACTAGTACAGTAATTCCTCATTTCACACTATCGGTATGTTTCAGAAAATGATCGTGTTAAGTGAAAACGTGTTATGCGGGGTCAATTTTCCCGTTGAAAATGGAAAGGGGGGGGTTGCGTTTCAAGCGGGGGTGTCTGTTGGGACCGGGACATAAGGTTGAGGGAGAAAAGGGACTGGGTTACAGCAGGGAGGGGAGGGGTTTGGCTCTGGGGAAGGGAAGGGGAGGAGAGGGGAGGGGGATTGGGTTGGGAGTATGCCCCTGTGACGGGTCTGCCAGGACCCGCACTGCGTCCAGCGAGGGGGGGTCAGTGGGGAACGGTGTGGCGAGCAGCGAACCCTCCGCCCCGCATTGCAGGGAGGCGGGGGAAGCCCCACGCAGCCACCAGCAACAGGCCGGCTGGGGAAACCATGTTATTCTGGGGATGGGCGTGTCATTCAAAAAATGTTCCCTAAAAAAAAATCGTGTTAAGCGGGCACGTGTTAAATGAGGAATTACTGTACCTGGACTGTGGCCCTGCCCTGCTCCTCCCCGCCTCCTCGGTCCCGCTCCCACTTCGCCTCTTCCTTGAGGCCCCAACTTCACTCCACCTTCCCCCCAAAACCCTGTCCTGACTCCTCCTCCTCCCCCCAGGCCTCACCCCCGCCCCACCTTCCCCCCGCCAACACCCTGTCCTGACTCCGCCTCCTCCCCCCAGACCTCACGCCTGCCTCACCTTCCCCCCAGCACCCTACCCTGACTCCTCCCCCCAGGCCTCCCCCCCACCCCACCTTCCCCCCGCCAACACCCTGTCCTGACTCCGCCTCCTCCCCCCAGACCTCACGCCTGCCTCACCTTCCCCCCAGCACCCTACCCTGACTCCTCCCCCCAGGCCTCCCCCCCACCCCACCTTCCCCCCGCCAACACCCTGTCCTGACTCCGCCTCCTCCCCCCAGACCTCACGCCTGCCTCACCTTCCCCCCAGCACCCTACCCTGACTCCTCCCCCCAGGCCTCCCCCCCACCCCACCTTCCCCCCGCCAACACCCTGTCCTGACTCCGCCTCCTCCCCCCAGACCTCACGCCTGCCTCACCTTCCCCCCAGCACCCTACCCTGACTCCTCCCCCCAGGCCTCCCCCCCACCCCACCTTCCCCCCGCCAACACCCTGTCCTGACTCCGCCTCCTCCCCCCAGACCTCACGCCTGCCTCACCTTCCCCCCAGCACCCTACCCTGACTCCTCCCCCCAGGCCTCCCCCCCACCCCACCTTCCCCCCGCCAACACCCTGTCCTGACCCCATGTCTTCCCCCTGAGGTACTTTTAAAAGTGGTGGCCCCTGGGCCTTCCCCTTTCCCAGCCCTTGGCACAGCTCCATAGATGTCAGTGCGAGGATGCAGTCTGAGCTCCTGCCTGACACAGGCCAGGAGCCTGCCCCTAAATGATCCAGTCACCTCTCGGCCTTCTCTTGGCTAAGCTGAAGAGAGTAATTACAGATTTGCGGGGCTGGAGAGAGGGTAAAAATAACTCTGCAGCTCAGTGCTTAGGGCCCAGGAGCTGGAGGGACCCTCGGCGTCCAGTCTCGGCTTCAAGGAAGATTTAGTTCTAGTAGCAAGTGCGACCGTGGCAGCAAGTGAGAGCGAGGGGACGAGCCTTCCTCAGTGCGCCGTAGCTTGGGCAGTTAGGACACGCCCACGGAGAGGACAGAACGGGGTCCAGGTCTCTGCTTCACATCAGACAGATTTGAAACCATCTAGGGGAATGCCCTGGCCTATGGGCTACAGTGGGGACTGCTCCATGACTCGGGGGAAGGGGCTGACCTGGCAATCGGCACCTGTCTCGTAGCTGAGACTCCTGACCGGGAGGGAGGTGCCTAAATCCACCTGTGGCTCCGCCCCCTGCCCAGGTGCCGTCGTGAGGAGCGTGGTGGGTGCGCTCTCGCGGCCTGCGCTCTGACATTGACCATTGCATCCACTCATCACCGTCTGGGGGGATTCTCCATCACTGAGAGCTTCTAGAGAAAGGCTGGATGTTTTTCTAGATCTGCTCTAGCACCCAGAGGTTGTTGGGCTCGATGCAGGACTCCCTGGGGTAGGTTCTGCGGCCTGTGCCTCGTGGGAGGTCAGACTAGAGCAGGGCCCCGGGGGCCACAATGATACTCACAGCACATGCCGAGGGCCACTACTCAAGAGGGGGTGCATAGACATGCAAATATATGCAAATAGCTTCTTTCACACTGACGGGCATAAATACAAAGATTAAGGCAAGACCACGCAACACACAGGCCCCATTTAAGTCCGTTCTGCTGACATTACTGAAATGCAACAGTTACCCCATTTCCACCCACATGACAGCACTTGGAACGAGCACTGACAGTCCAGGAATTGAACTTCTAAAAGACCATTCTACTGACTCGCCGCTGTGGGGCGTGTTCCCGGTGGAGGCCATGTTCAAAGGGTCCGACCCGAGGGCTGCGCGTTGAGTAGCCCTGGACTAGGTGATCCTAGGGGGCCATTGCAGCATTAAGGTCTATGAATCTGTGAACTGTAGAGAGGCACCGAACTCTCCTCCTCGCCCACAGACCTGGGCACTAGCATTCCAGCTCCCCTCTCCTGCAGGCAGCGCCTGGTAATGCCAGAATCGCAGGGACCTCTGCCCACGCTCAGGAACCTCTGCTGCATTTGCACCATGGCAGGGTGAACTCCTCAGCACCCATCGGCGCAGCAGCAGGTCCCTCTCCACACACAGTGTGCGAGCAGCAAGAGCCTTGGTGTGCACAGACCTGGGCAGAGAACTCCACTGTTAGCCACCCCTGGGTGCTGGAGGTACGGCAGGGACTCCCATGCACACAGGCCTGGGGCGTGGCAGACTGGCACACAGCCCTTCTCCAAGGCTGCACCAAGCCAGCGTGACCCAGATCACTCCCTGGGTCAAGCCACCGGAACACAGCAAACTTCTCCAAGCCCGCCCTCTCCCACCCTGGCCCACCTACCTGTGTGGTTCCGCGCAGGCAGGGGGTGCTCCTCCATCCCTGCCCACATGCCAGGGCAATGTCAGGATGGCAGGGTCCGTGGCTCTTTTGCTGCCCACATGCCAGGGCAATGTCAGGCTGGCACGGTGCTGGCCTCTCCTCCGGCTCAGGTGCCAGGGGCGTGCCAGCAGGCGGGGACGGACTCTTCCATCCATGCCCACAAGCCAGTCGGATGCCAGGGTGGCAGGGGGTATATTTTCTCTGCTCACTTTGTGTGTCTGTGTCTGCCCATGACGGTGGTCCCTTTGCCGGCAGTAGCATTAGCAGCGGGGCTCTCGAGCCAGTGGCGGGTGTTGGCTGGCATGTTCCGAACTGGGCATTTTGGTAGGGGGTGAACCCTGTAAAAGAGAACAAGCCAAGCACATGCAAGGGGCCCTACATGACTCATGGACCGTGAAATCTGGCCTTTTCTGTGCTTTTACCATGTGCTATGCAGCACCCATGGGGGAGACCAGGGTTTCTCAAACTGGGGGTCCTGACCCACATGGGACTTGCTGGGGGGGCAGGGAGCCATCGTTACATCTGTGCAGCCTTCGGAGCTGGGTGTCTACAGAGCAAGGCTGCTGGCCAGGTGCCCTGCTCTGAAAGTAACCGTGGCAATATACTTACACATCGGCACTGGTGCCTTCAGAGCGGGGTGCCGGAGAGTAGTGGCCAGAGAGGCCAACAGACTTCGCCAGGCCCTGGGCAAGGTGGAGGGGGCCTGGCTCCGAGCCCCGAGAAGGGACAGGGCCTCAGGTGGAAGGGGGCAGAGCCTTCCCAGCCAGCCCTGCCTGGGGCTCTGGCAGCAATTTAAAGGACTTTGGGCTTCAGCTGCTACTGCAGGAGGGGTGGCAGCAGCTGGGAGACTCAGGCCATTTGAAATTGCTGAGCCCCAGTGTGCACCCCCCACATGTTGGTGACTCTGGTGGTGGCTGTTGATTGAGGGCCCAGCTCTGCAGGCAACAGCACATGAATACGGATAACACCACCATGCCCTGCCCCCCTTACTTCTGTGCTGCTGCTGGCTGTCGCTCTGCCTTCAGAGCTGGGCTCCCAGCCAGCTGCTGCAGCTGCCCAGCTCTGTAGGCAGCAGCCCCAGCAAGGGATCAGTATCACAGCGCCCCCCTACAGTAACCTTGCAGACTCCCCCAACTCCTTTTTGGGTCAGGACCCTGCAGTTACAACACTGTTCAATTTCAGATTTAAATAACCAAAATCAGGAAAGGTATGAATTTAAAAATCCTTCGGCTGTGGAATTGACCCAAACGGACCATGAGTTCAGCACGGCCACCAATATGAGGAAGGAGAGTGCCCGTTTCAAGGTCTGTTCCTTTGCCCTGTGAGCACCGCGGAGGGGTCCCCGCTGCGCCCAGAGAACAGACCCATCAGAAGCTGCCTCATTCACTGAAGCAGTGCTGAAGAGCCAGGAGCAGGTTGAGGCATGTGAGATCCAAGACCCTCAGGGGTCCCCCAATCCGACCCATTACAACACCCTAGCTAGCGCAGTCTCATTCCTTAGGGCCTTCACCACAGAGAAACCAAAGAGCCTGGAGTGTAAATTCATAACTTTTCTGGACACAAAAAAAGTCATGGACTGAATGAGATGCTGGATTTAGGGCTTATGGCAACAACCCAGCGCCCACTGCCCATCATTTTTAATGGTGAGAAATTAACTAGGAGCAACTTACCAAGAGTTCTGGTGGGTTCTTCTGCTAATCTGAGCAACAAAGAGGGTCTTTCTAAAAGCTTCGGTCTGGGAGTTATTTGGGGGGAGTTCTGGGGCCGGTGTTATACAGAAGGTCAGATCAGAGGATCACAGTGGTTCCTTCTGGTCTCACAATATATGAAAAAGGGCTGGGGCCATGGTGCAGCAGCCTGGCCTTCTGAATGGCCAGGAAGGATCAGGGCTGGAGTTGGGCGGAGCGTGGCTCAAGGGGCGGGGGTCTCAGGCAGAAGGGACAGGGCTTTAGCTGCCTTCCCCAGCTGGGCCTTCACCCACCACCCATGGACACGTGTTGTCCTCCCTTGGCAACAGGAGAACGAGAGGTCCATCGAATGGGGAGGGGGAATCTTAGACGGTGTGATAATCCAGCCTGACATCCTGCATAGCACAGACCAAGAACAGCCTGGAAGCAAGTGGATCTTTTAGAAAAATGTCCCATCTTGATTTAAAAATTGCTCGTGACCCTTGAGAAGTTGTTCCAATAGCTAATTACCCTCCCTGTTCGATCCCAAGCCAGTGCCTCTCTCTGGGTCTATATTGCTGCCTCTACTGTTCTGTTTCTGACATAGGCTCTACGGCTCATTCAGTGTCAGTTTCACAGAGTTTAAATCCAGAAGGGCCACTGGATCCTCTAGTCTGATTGCTGGTACATCACAGCCATCAACACCACCAGCCTCTGCAATGAGACCCAAAGGAGACTAATCATGAAGCTGCGACTGTTCCATGGAAACGTGTTCCCACGGGTCCAAATACCATAAACACAAACCCAGGTCACCTAGGTGAGACTCCGACTTCAGCCGGCGGAACGTCCTGTTACGTGCATGTTTGCACAAAGTCCTGAGTTTCACTCACCACTGTATCCGGGAAAGTAACTGTAGTTCTGATCGAGCATCTGGGTTGAAGGATGGTTTGTTCCACTAAAGTCCTCTATGAACCGTGGCTTCCCCAGAGGTGCGAGCACAGAACAAGGGCTCTTCCGCACACTCGGGTCTGTCAGCAGGCGGGAGGTGGTTTTGCCGTAGGTTTCTCCAATCTGGTAGCGGATCTGAGGGTAGAACCCCTCGTAGCTGAGGAGGGAATCACAGGCTGGGGCTTACTGGTTTGGCAGCGACAAACGTTTCAGCAGATGAACAGAACAATTTGTTTCCCTGTGACGGCTTCATGTATCCCAAAGAGTGCGAGGCGGGGTCGTGTGAGTTCAAGCATGCGGGATGCGCCAGTAAGATGCGTATGGATCAGAATATGCACATACACACACGTTGCTGTGAAAAGCCCCGTGTGCCTATTGAACGTGGGGGCGGGGGTTGGGGGGGGGGCGGGTTTCTCGG